TGTTTCCCCCCTCCATAAGGAAGAATTTTTTCTTATTAGTTCCTTGGTTACTCTAAAATACAGAGGAAAAACAAAATAAATGCATTATTTGTTTCTTCTGTATTTGTCAACTTTCAACTTAATAAATTGATGAATTGCTGCCTTAGCAAGCTTCAATAATGAAGTTAATTTTGTATGTACATGACGTGTGTGCATGTGTGTATATTAACTTTATTGGGATATAATTCATATACAATACAGTTTATCAATTTAAGGTACACAATTCAACAGGTTCTAGTACATTCAAAGAGTTGTGCAGCTATCACCCCCCAAAAGAAACGCTGTACCCATTAGTGGTCACTCCCCATTTCCTTCTAACTCCCTTAGCCCGTTGCAACCACTAATCTACTTACATAATCTCTATAGACCAGATACATTTCTATGGACGTACCTGTTCTGTACATGTCATATAATTGGAATCCAGTCTCTTGTCTGTCTTCTTTCACTTAGAATATTGTTTTTAAGGTTCATTCATGTTTTAGCATGTATTAGTATTTTGTTTCTTTTTATTGCTGAATAATTTTTTTATATGGATATACCATATTTGTTTATCCATTCATCAGTTGATGTACATAGATGTATGTATTGTAAACATGAACTCAGGAACTTCTTTTTTTTTTTGAAATAGGATCTCACTGTTTCTCCCAAACTGGAGTGCATTGATCAATAGCTTACTGCAGCCTCGACCTCCTGGGCTCAGGTGATCCTCCTGCCTCAGACTCCTGAGTAGTTGGAACTACAGGCACATGCCATCACAGCTGGCTATTTTTTTTTTTTTTTTTTTTTTTTTTTTTACTTTTTGTGAAAATGGTGTCTCCCTATGTTGCCCAGGTTCATCTTGAACTCCTGGCTCAAATAATCCTCCCACCTTGACCTTCCAAAGTGCTGGGATTATAGGCATGAGCCACCATGCCTGGCTTTGTTGATACTGATTTGTCATCACTTATAGGTATTTTTTGTAATGAGGCTAGGAATTTTTTTCTGAATGAGAAATAATCTCAAATTTATACAGTTATTTTCCATTCAAATTTAAGTGTTAGCTTAAAAATTTGGTTCCTGTATTTCTTATTATATGGAAAATATGGCTTCTTGATGACATTAATATAATTGATTTTATTTTAAAATATGACTATAATAGTTTCAAAGTATCAACACCAGTATTAATACTAGCAGTAAGTGTAGTTTAATTGTTATTTTAAATTCCAGGGCCCTACATAATTTGTCTTTCTGCTTATTCCTTTCATTTCATATTATTCTCTTATTTACTATACTTCAGCCAGAATAAATGCTGTTCTTTTCCTTGAACGTACTTCTGGCAAATTTTGGTCTCTTCTGTTACCTGATTTATATATCTTCTCTTTTCACCTTTCCACAGTGGAGCCACCACTCTTTGAATTTCTCATTTTCAAATTCATGGAAAGGAATCTGATTGGCTTAGGTCAGTTGAGCTAAACCATGGAAATTATAAATTTCCAACTAGACAGTGAATTGGCTACTCTTGGCTTATATGTTTGCCCTTAACCCAATGAGCTGTGTTCTGGGAAGAGAATCATGTGGTCTACTACCCACTCAGAGGGAGTGTGATTGAGGCCGTTATAACAGTCATCTCAAATGTTGTCTCATGTATTTTTCTTCTGTTCTATTGCCTTGGACTACCTTAAAACATGATCAGCACCCTCTTTCATTCCCTCTCTTCCTCTTTTCCACTCCCCACCTCACCCCCAACATAAAAATACTAAGACTGGAGAAAGAGATGTAAGAATTTTATTCATTAATTCGTTGTATACTTATTAAATGTCCACAGTATGCCACGCAGTATTAGGACAAAGCAGTCAGTGAAATAAATTAGATTCTTGCTCCCATGGAGCTTACATTCTCCATCTAACTCTAGATGGAGAGATAGGTAATAAGGAAGAAAGTAAATTAACAAGAGTTTTAGACTATGGCCAGTGTTATAAAGAGGACTTCTAAGAGGTATATAACAGTTTCTAGAAATATTTGCTCATTTGTGTTGTTTACCAGTTCGTCATTTTTATTCCTGAGCTTTTGAAGGAAAAAACTTCTTTTTTTCTCTCAAAGATTTTAAAAATAATGTTCATATACATGTTCTCATTGTTTATGTAGTTCAAATTAAAAGTAGTTATTTTAGATAAAACTTTTAAAAGTGTGTGTACTTTGTAGACTAGCTGAGAATTGAGGCTACTACTTTGTGTTTTAAGAATTTTCCTTATTTTCTATAAGACTAAAATTATTATAATCATAATGCTATTATTAAACATGTAGGATAGTTACTAGAGGACTAAATAGCCTAAATATGATTTGTATCTTAGAAATATTCTTATTATGTTTAAAGGATATTAGTGTCATTAGAATTTGGGGTTTTTTTTTGTTTGTTTGTTTGTTTGTTTTAAGAGACAAGATTCTACTCTGTTGCCCAGGCTGGACTCAAACTTCTGGGTTCAAGTGATTCTTCCACCTCAGCTTCCTGAGTATCTGGTACTACAGGCATGTACCACCATGCCTAGCTTGAATTTTTGATTAGTTTAGAGATTTCTAATTTTAATAAATAACCAAGCCAGCTGGGAACTGTAAATTATGTTACTTGTAAGCCTGGCAGATCATACTGCTAGAGTGTGAAGGAGAGCAATATAGACAAGTAAATATGTTTATTTCTTCCCTCATTAACTCTTTTCTTAATTAAAGGAAATTATAGAGATTGTCTTGAATTACGCTACCTTCTTTCTAAGGTGATCTCGTTTCCAGTCAGTTTTATGTCAGTATAATATGCGGATTATACTTAAATTTAAAATACAATATTTTTCTTCAATAATTATTATTCGTGGCCCACTTCTTTCTAAAAGGGAGTGGACAAAGGACAGTTTTTAGCATCTAACAATAGAGGATTCATTGAATAAGTTTTGCTATAACTGAATGATAGTGTTCAACCTTTTAAGCATTGTGCATGCTATAGAGAGAAGCATTTAATTATTTAAAGACATGGAAAAAATATTTCATGTGAGTGTGTGAGCTGTACTGTACATAAAAAAACCTGGAAAATTATACAGTAATGCAATGTTAATTATATTAACATTTATATTATATTAACTGTGATTATCATCTTTGGGCGGTGAGATGAGTATTTTTATATATATGCGTGTGTGTGCTTTGCCTGTTTTCTGATTCTTCTCAATTTGTATACCTAGGAAACAATTTTTATATCAAAAATAGTTATCAAAATATGTCACAATAGAGAAATATCATTTTCTCAGGTATAGAATATAAGAAATAGATGATTTAAGGACATTTTGTGTTAAAATTGAATACATAATATTGGCTATAAACGTGTATTTTAGTTGCCAATACAGATTTGCAGTCTTAGGCTTCCTTAATAGATACAAATGTGCAGATCAGAGAAGGAAGAAGTCCATTGGAACTTGTACAAATCCTGCCTTCCCCCTTTTTGCTTTCTCTCCTACCCCCAGGCTGTGATTTTTATCCCAAGAGTCCACCAGTTAAGTTCAGACTTTCTCATTCTTTCTCTATAGGTTCCTTTTCATCTTTGCTAACTTAAGTACTAGATGAGGTCCTCTTATCTTTTAAAAAGAAGCCTTCTTTATCTGTACAGCCCTTGAGAGGTTAGCATGAGAATCCAAGCAGTATGAGCTGATAGCTGATGATTGTACAGAAGCAGCTAGTCAGTGAATTCTGTACAATGTATGGTATTTTAATAAAATGGTTGAAAATCATAAATAATTTTTTTGTATCTAAAATTTTAGTGGCACCTGAAAAGACTCCTTAAATGACTTTACTTTGGAGTGCATTAGGCACGGTCTAAGCTATAATTAACATGAGAATTATCTAAACATAATTGTGAAAGCTGGGCTCGGTGGCTCAGCCTGTAATCCCACGCCTTGGGAGGCTGAGGTGAGTGGGTTGCCTGAGCCGCGGGTTCAAGACCCGCCTGGGCAACTTGGCGAGACCTCATTTCTACAGTAAATAAAAAAATTAGCTGGGCGTGGTAGCGCGCGCCGGTAGTTCCAGCTACTTGGAAGGCTGAGGTGGGAGGATCACCAGAGCCCAGCAGGTCGAGGCTGCGATGGCCGGGAGCGTGCCACTGCACTCCACTCCACTCTGGGCGACAGAGTGAGACTCCAACTAAAAAAAACCAAAACATAATTGTGAGCTTCAGATTTCCACTCAGAATTAGTAGGAGTTAACAGTTGGACACAGTGGTTTAGCAACTCACTTCTACCACCTCCTAAGCACAGAGTTCACATAGAGAATTAATTGTGTGCCATCCACTCAGGTCTGTGAATACCAGGCTAATAGACATAGCTTGACACTTTGCAGAAATGTTGACTATGGAAAGCAGAGCAATGCAGATAGCACGTCAAAGATTTGTGACTTATGAGAACACTGTTGGTGAAGGCAGAGCCAGGGAAGATACACAGAATGCATGGTGATAGCATATCATAAAAGTGAGGTGAATAATATGAGAGCATAAGTAATAACATCATACCTGTGTTTAAATCATTGGAACTAGTTCCTAAATTTTAATAGTCGTTCACTCAGAATTATACATTGTGTTATGCATAGAGTTATGGACTTATACATAGTATTCAAGCAGATTTATCCTCAGGACTTAGAAGGGGCTCCTGTTAAGAAAAAAAGGTTTTAACAGTGGTTCTGATGAGTTCTGACAGCCATCTCTGCTTATTCAGGTATGATTTGCCTGGAAACAAAGGCTGCCAGCTCTTTTATTTATATTTTGTTTTTTTTCCCTTTTTCTGTCATTTCCCTTTATCTCTTTAATCTTTCTTGCTTTTGTAACATCATTTTTATTAGTTCTGAGTAGAAAGACTTTCTGATAAACAATTATTTCCTAATACTGTTTTTTAAATTTGGTCATGTACTCCTAAAGACTTACTGAAAATATATTAATGTAACTTTAACAACCACAGATACCGAGAGGCAATCCAGAAGTGGGATGAAGCACTGCAATTAACCCCAAATGATGCTACCCTGTATGAGATGAAATCACAGGTAATAATTGTGAAGAATTTTACTTTCATCGTGAAATTGCACTATGTTTGTTTGGTGAACACTGGTGAACCAAACAACATTTTCTCCCATTTTCTTTTTCTTTTTTTTTTTTTTTTTTTTTTTTTTTGAGTTGGAGTCTCACTCTGTCGCCCAGACTGGAGTGCAGTGGCCGCTCCCGGCCACCGCAGCCTCAACCTGCTGGGCTCCGGTGATCCTTCCGCCTGAGCCTTCCAAGTAGCCGGAATTACAGGCATGCGCTATCACGCCCGGCTGATTTTTTGATTTATTGTAGAGATGAGGTCTTGCTGCCCAGGCGGGTCTTGAACCCGCGGGCTCAGGCAATCCACTCACCTCAGCCTCCCAAAGGCATGGGATTACAGGCTGAGCCACCAAGCCCGGCTATTTTCTTTTTCAAATACAATTTATTTGGGAAAAATATGTAACTATTATTTATGGCTCTGCCTTATACATAAACTTAGAAATTCATTTGCCTTCACAATGAAGTTAAATGCTATTTCAGCCTAACTATTGTAAAATATGAGCAAGTGGAAATCTTTTAAAAAGTCACTGGTGATCTCTTAAATAAGGGAAAAATGTCTGCTTTCCTTGAAAATTAATTGTAGTAGACTTATAAGTAGCTCAGTTTTTTCCAAAATGAAGATGGATTGAGTTCCGGATGAAATTTCTCTAACAATGACTTTGTGCTTAGTAAAAGGTCAGAATGGACACAATTTGTTAATAGTTTAAAAATAACATTTGTACTATAAAAATACATTTCTAATACTTGTTGGAAACTCTGGGGAAAAAAATCTCTGAGTGCTTTAATTAGATTATCCAAGTTACTTAAAAGTCCGACGCAGAGCATTAAACATACACTTGGCAGGGAATTGTAATTCAGCCTTGATCTGCACACCTAACAAATCTTTTTCAAATGATGATCTCAAATATGGCACACACTCTTTATCAACTCTGATTTTAGTTTATCCAGGAAAAATCCAAATAAATTATGTCTACCAAATCAAATGCTGTGAACACCTTCATTTGAGTGCTTTAATTTTCAGTCTTGAATATGTATATGTTAATATGCATAATTGTAACTATCTGAAGAGTTGTTTAATTGGAGCCTGATGATGATATTTGTGTCACAAATTAAATAAAATATTAATGGTCCCAAAGATTTTAGATAAAATCCAGCCCTTTCCCATAGACTAAAGTGGAAAATGCTAGAACTTTTGATTTTTCTGATTTGTGTGGTTTGAAAATCTCATTATGAGGAAGCCTATGAAGTAAATGAATTTTATAGCAGAAGAATGTTCATTGGGAGCAGGATGGCAGGTTGATCAAATTAACTTACCTCATTTAACAACAAGACGTGGGTTTCCCTAAAACCACATTGTAAATAGAATAAATAGAAGTGGAATTGAAAGTTTAAATAGCTGTGAGCCACCATGGCTAGAATATGACCACTTGATTTTGACCAGAAGGACATAGGATTTACTATTTGGAAAATAGTTTATATTTTCATAGTTATTTCAGTACTTAATTACTTAATTACTGATCCCAAATGGCAGAGAAGGAGGTAAAAACTGAGAAAAGGCCATGTTTACCAGACTAAAAAATTTTTTTAAAAATGAAAAGAGTTGTTTATATATGATTATCCATCAGTAGTTTGCTGATTTATGACTGTTACTGACAGTTTTTTTTTTTTTTCCTTTTTGGTTTATAGGTCCTAATGTCTCTTCATGAAATGTTCCCAGCAGTACACGCAGCAGAAATGGCTGTCCAGAGAAATCCACATTCATGGGAGTCTTGGCAAACTTTGGGACGAGCTCAACTTGGATTAGGGGAGATAATCCTGGTAAGGAAGTCAGATTACTATAGTGCTGAAATTTTGAATTTATATTGACATGTTTTTGATCAATTGAATCAAAACGTGAATAGCTATTTATCAAATCTATACAAAAAATAAATAGCACCTAACTCCAATCGGAGTAGCCATCATTAATAACTCAAAAAAAAAACAGATGCTGGAGAGGATGCAGAGAAAATGGAACACTTCTACACGGTTGGTGGGAGTGTAGATTAGTACAGCCTCTGTGGAAAACAATGTGGTGATTTCTAAAAGATCTAAAAATCTACCTTTCATATGACCCAGCAATCCCCCTTCTATGAATATACCTGGAGGTACTCAAATCATTCTACAAAAAAGATACCTGAGCATACACGTTTATTGCAGCGCTATTCACAATAGCAAAAACATGGAACCAACTGTGATGCCCATCAACAGTGAGTGGACTGGATTAAAAAAAATGTGGTACATATACACGATAGAAAAAAGAATGACACAATTATGGAATTCACAGCAACTTAGATGGATTTAGAGGCTATCATACTCGGTGATCTATAACAGAAACAAAGAACTGAGTACCACGTGTTCTCACTCATAAGCAGACCCTGAACATTTATCATAATAATATAAGAAAGGGATTGGCAGTAGTGGGACACAGCCAGGGGAGGGAGGAGGGGGCACATAACATCACCAAGGGTACTTGATCCTAAACTAGGTGAAGTGAGGACCTATGGGAGGCCCAAACTTCCCTTGCACATTGACCGCTTATGTATGTAATCCTGAATTGTACCCCACATCTTTAATATAAACTAGTAGTAAAAAAATAGCAAATTACCTATTAAAGATATTAATCCATAAACACAGGTCACAGTTAATACTGAACATCTTTTTTTAAATGAATCTCTTTTATTTTTATTTTTATTTTTTATTATAAAGATGTGGGGTACAATTCAGGGGTAGGTATACAAACATTGATTATGCAGGTACCCTTGTTGATGAGGTATGCCCCTCCCTCCCCTAGCAGTTCCTCTCAACTGCCAATCACACCCCCCCCACAGTTTCCCACTACTGCCAATCACTTTCTTTTAGTATTATAATTGTTCAAGGTCCACTTATGAGTGAGAACATATGGTACTTTGTTTCTGTGATAGATCAGAGTATGATCAACTCTAAATCTATCCAAGTTGCTGCAAAGTACATATGTTTGTCCTTCTTTATGGTTGCATAATATTCTGTTGTGTATATGTGCCACAGTTTTTTTTATCCAGTCCAGCTTCGATGGGCAACGTGGTTGGTTCCATGTTTTTGTTATTGTGAATAGAGCTGCAATAAACATACTTGTGCAGTTTATTTTTTTTGTAAAATGATTTGAGTTCCTCCAGGTATATTCCCAAAAGGGGAATTGCTGGGTCATATGGAAGGTCAATGTTTTTTTTTTTTTGAGTTGGAGTCTCACTCTGTCGCCCAGACTGGAGTGCAGTGGCCGCTCCCAGCCACCGCAGCCTCGATCTGCTGGGCTCCGGCGATCCTTCTGCCTCAGTCTTCCAAATAGCTGGAACTACAGGTGCGCACTATCACGCCCGGCTGATTTTTTAATTTTTATTGTAGAGATGAGGTCTCGCTAAATTGCCCAGGCGGGTCACGACCCCACGGGCTCAGGCAATCCACTCACCTTGGCCTCCCAAAGCCCGGGATTACAGGCTGAGCCACCCAGCCCAGCCGAAGATCAATTTTTAGTTCTTTCAGAAACTGCCCACACTGTCTTCCAAAGAGGTTGCACTAGTTTGCATTTCCACCAACAGTGTAGAAGCATTCCTTTTTCTCCGTATCCCTGCCAGCATCTGCTGTTGTTTGTTTTATTAATGATGGCCATTCTCACTGGGGTTAGGTGGTATCTCAGTGTGGTTTTGATTTGCATTTCTCTGATGATGAGTGAGGCTGAGCAGTTTTTCATGGGTCTGTTGGCTGCCCGTGTATCTTCTTTTGAAGAGTGTTTATTAATGTCTGCCCACTTTTTAATGGGATTGTTTGTTTTTTTTCTTTCACCACATTTGAGTTCCTTGTAGATCCTAGATGTTAGGCCTTTGTCAGATATGCAGTTGGCACATATTTTTTCCCATTCTGTGGGCTGTTTCCCTGCTCTCTTGATGGTTTCTTTTGCTTTGCAGAAGCTCTTAGTTTGATGAGGTCCCATTTGTCTGTCTTATATTTTAGGGTATGGGCATTTAGGGTTGTGAATAGGAATTGGTTACTAGTTCTAATTTCCATAAAGGTGTCTCCTGCATTTTCTACGATTCTTATAGTTTGAGGTTTTACGTTTAGGTCTTTGACCCATTTAGAGTTAAATCTTTGCGTATAGTGATAGGTATTGGTCCTGTTTCAATCTTCTGCATGTGATCAGCCAGTTTTCCCTGCACCATTTACTGAATAGTTTCTCCTTTCCCCAGTGGTTGTTGTTGGAGGCTTTGTCAAAGATGAGTTGGTTGAGAAATTGAGGCTTTGCTTCCAGAATCTCTATCCTGTTTCAATGGTCTATATACCTGTTCTTGTACCAATACCAGGCTGTTTTGATTACTGTAGCCTTGCAGTAAAGTTTGAAGTCTGGAAGTGTGATATCTCCTGCTTTGTTTCTTTTGCTAAGGATTGTTTTGGCTATTCATGGTCGTTTATGTTTCCATATGAATTTCTGTATTGTTGTTTCCAGATCTGAGAAGAATAATGTTGGTAACTTAATGGGTATTGAGTTGAATCTGTAGATTGCCCTCGGTGGGATGGACATTTTAACAATGTTGATTCTTCCTATTCATGAGCATGGAATATTTTTCCGTTTGTTTGTGTCTTCTTGGATGTCTTTGAGCAGTGTTTTGTAGTTCTCACTGTAAAGGTCTTTCACTTCTCTTGTTAGGAAGATGCTGAGGTCTTCCATTTTTTTTTGTGGCTATTGTGAATGGGATTGTGCTTTTAATTTGAGTCTCTGCCTGCTTGTTTTTGGTGTATAGGAATGCAACTGTCCTTTGCACATTTATTTTGTACCCTGAGTTTTTGCCAAAGTCCTTTATCAGTGCAAGCAGGTTTTTGGATTTTCAAGGTATAGGATCCTATCATCAGCAAAGAGGGATAACTTGACTTCCTTTTTTCCTATTTGGATACCTCTGATTTCCTTCTCTTCTCTAATTGCCTGAGCTAGGACTTCCAATACAGTGTTGAACAAGAGGGGTGAGAGTGGGCAGCCTTGTCTTGTTCCAGTTCAACATCTTTTTTTTATTATAAGTATCAGTCATATCAGGGCCAGAATATTTTTCAGTTATTTGGCATCATGGAATTTTTAAATAAATTAACATAAAATATCGACATTTGGTAAATCATATTTAATTCGACAACTTCTAGTTAGTTCTTTGGGTCATTAAATTTACGTTATAAAGTGGTATTAATATCACTGTGGAGGCCGGGCTCGGTGGCTCAGCCTGTAATCCCAGCGCTTTGGGAGGTCGATGTGAGTGGATTGCCTGAGCCCGCGGGTTCGAGACCCGCTTGGGCAAGTGAGACCTCATCTCTACAATAAATCAAAAAAATTAGCCGGGCGTGGTAGTGCATGCTTGTAGTTCCAGCTACTTGGAAGGCTGAGGCAGAAGGATCTCCAGAGCCCCACGGGTTGAGGCTGCGGTGGCCGGGAGTGGCCACTACACTCTAGTCTGGATGACAGAATGAGACTCCAACTCAAATATATATATATATATATATATATATATATATCACTGTGGAGACAAAACCACTAATAGATTATGTCAGGGTAGGAAGAAAATAAATATAGGAGAGTAATGGTGATAAATATTTAAACTGAAAAGTTGCTAGACTTAGTGATGAGAAAATAAGGAAGGGTAGAGACTTATGCAAATGAAATACTCATTGTGTAAAGTTTATTATAAACTTGTTAGGACTGCATTTTGTTGGTAGCAAAGGCTAAATAGCTAAGAATTAGCTGTAGAATTGCCCCGTTCTTGTTTTTCTGAGCTTTACACACAAGACAGCTAACAAAATTTGACTTTCCAACAAGTGTTTGCTAATCGAATATAGTAGTGCCAAATTTCTCCTTTGTCATTAAGTAAAATTAAAATGGTTAAATAGTTTTATTGGCATTTAACAAAGGAAATTTTAAAAGTTTCTTGGGAGACTAAAATTACTGATGAATTCTGAATTTAACTTTACTAACAATGGTTTTAGTAAATTATGGATGACTTGGATTTTTCTGGCACTGTTGTAAATATATCAACATTTCTGTTTGCAAAGAAAGATGTTTGTCAGATTGTCAGAGTAAAAAGTTTTAATGAGAACAGAGTTGTTTGGACTAAAGTAACTTAAAAATGATACTCTGAAATGAAATTCACAGTGATGGAAACCATTTTAACCAAGGGCTATTTTATTACCATTTAACCTTGTCATTTTTTCTTTTTTACCTTAAGAATTAAATCATACCAGAGTTGGAAAAAAGAATTTAAGAAATTTAGTTTTCTGATGAATTAAGGGGCCGGGGGTTGATCCCCTTGCAGAACTCTTACAACTCAATAACTAAAAGACAAATAATGTAATTTAAAAATGGGCAAAGAATCTGAATATTTTTCCAAAGAAGATATAGAAATGGTCAATAAACACATGAAAAGATGTTCAACATCATTACCCATCACAGAAGTACAAATTAAAACCACATTTGCATCCACTGGGATAGATGACTGACGTTAAAAAGATGGACAATATCAAGTGTTGTTGAGAGTGTAGAGAAATCAGAGCTCTCATTTGTTGCTGGTAGGGATGCAAAATATTACAGCTATTTTGGAAAACATACTGGCAGTTCTGATAAAAAGAAAAAGAAAATAACAAAACCTACAGTTACTATATGGCACAGCAATTTCACTCCTAGATTATACTAAAGAGAAATAAAGACACATGTCCACAAAACACTTGTACACAAATGTTCATAGTAGTGTTATTTATAATGGCCAAGATATAGAAACAACTCAAATGCCATCAACTGATAAATGAGTAAGCAAAATATGATATGTTCGTATAGTGGAATATTATTCAGTAGTAAAAAGAAATGAAGTATTAATTTATGTTACAACATGGATGAACCTTGAAAACAATATGGTAAGTGAAAGAAACCACACACAAAAAGCCACAATATTGTGTGATTTTATTTATGTGACATGTACACAATAGGCAAATTTGTAGAGATAGCAAGTAGATTAATGGTTGCCTATGGCTAGAGTTTTGGAGAGAAGTAGAGTGTTATAGGGTTTTCTTCTGGGATATTGAAAATATTCTAGAATTGATTGTGGTGATGACTGCATACCTCTGTAAATATGCTAAGAATCATTGAATTGTACATTTTAAATGAATGAGCTTTATTGCTGTTTTTAAAATTTAGCAAAATGCATAAAATTATCTTTTAATGTTTCATAAAAATTAGCTTTATAGCTTGAGGAAATATTTATTTTGGTCAACTTTTCATATTTTTAGGATCATTTTTCTAAGGACTTTTAAAATAGATAAGGCACAATGCCCAGGGTACCATATAGAGCTAAGCAAATATTTATGTGCTTAGTCATGCTTGCTGATTAATTTACTTTTTATCTTTGAACAAATTAGATCATCAAGATTTTATTATTATTATTTTTAATTAATTAATTAATTAATTTATTTATTTATTTATGAGTTGGAGTCTCACTCTGTTGCCCAGACTAGAGTGCAGTGGCTGCTCCCGGCCACTACAGCCTCGCCCTGCTGGGCTCCAGTGATCCTTCCACCTCAGCCTTCCAAGTAGCTGGAACTACAGGCGCGCACTACCACGCCTGGCTAATTTTTTGATTTATTGTAGAGATGAGGTCTTGCCAAGTTGCCCTGGCGGGTCTCGAACCCGCAGCCTTTGGCAGTCCACTCACCTTGGCCTCCCAAAGCGTGGGATTACAGGCTGAGCCACCGAGCCCGGCCAAGATTTTATTATTTTATTATTATTTGTTATGATATATCCAATTAAAGATGTACCACCAAAAGTTTTATAACTTAAAAAAATTAATAAATAGCTTGACTCGGTGGCAAAGCCTATAATCCCGCGCCTTTGGGAGGCTGAGGTGGGTGGATTGCCTGAGCCCGTGGGTTCGAGACCTGCCTGGGCAGGCAAGACCTCATCTCTACGATAAATCAAAAAATTAGCCAGGCGTGGTAGCTCGCGCCTATAATTCTGGCTACTCGGAAGGCTGAGGCGGAAGGATCGCCTGAGCCCAGGAGGTCGAGGCTGCAGTGGCCGGGAGTGGCCCCTGCACTCCAGTCTGGGCGACAGAGTGAGACTCAAACTAAAAAAAATAAAAATAAAAATAAATAAATATTATATCCTCAAATCCCAAACTTCCAATGATTTCCTATTATATAAACTATACTTCTTTTTTTTTTTTTAATTGGTCCTGGCATTCTTGAGGCAATTTAAAAGCCCAACTCCCCCTTTTCATTCATACTGCATTCTGTCATACTACTTTATATACCAAGGTTTGCTTGAGTCCAGGGATTCAAGACCAGGCTGGGCAACTTGGCAAAGCCTCCTTGCTACAATTAATCAGACAATTAACTGGGCATGGTAATGTATGCCTGTGGTTCCAGCAACTTGAAAGGCTGAGGTGGAAGGATTGCCTGAGCCCTGCAGAGTGAGGCTGTGGTAGCTGTGACCGTGCTACTATACTCCAGCCTGAATGACAGAGTGAGACTGCTATTTAAAAAAAATCTCTATCTATCTATCTATCTATCTATCTATCTATCTATCTATCTATCTATACCTATCACTATAAATTTGTCTCTTTAAAACTATCTCCAAAGGGCCTAGAAGAGGTTGTAAATCAGTAGATTATATGGATTCCAAAAATTAATCTGTTTGCATGAGGATCTTCTGTCCAGAGAGTGAGTATACTCAGAGAGAACAACACATAGTAAATTTAGGTCAGTGGTTCTCCACTGGAGGCAATTTGCCTCCCCCCCAAGGGACATTTGTTTATATCTGGAGACATTTGTGTTTGTCAAAGCTAGGAGAGGGACCTGTAATAGATCTGGTGGGTATAGGTCAGGGATGTTGCTGAACCTCCTACATTATACAGAACAACTCTCCTAAGACAAATAATTATCCAACCCTAAATGTCAATAGTGCCAAGATTGACCTGCGTCTAAGTGGAGTTCTTGTAACTAAGCAGTGTTTATCTAGTGAATAGGAGTTCAAACTATGGCGCGAGACTGCCTGGGTTTGCAACCCAGCTCTGATACTTCCTAGCTGATAGCTTTGGTAACTACTCTCTTTTCTACAGAAAACAATAACCGTAGCATGTAAATCTTTAGTGCCTAGAATAATAAACACTCAATAAATGTAAGCATTGTTAAACTCTTAGCTTCAAAGGTAAATATATTCCTGATACCTTCTGGACTGTGGGTTAGCTCAGGAAATTCCCAGATTTTTTTTTTGCTGGTATGCAGAGACTCAACAATATATTTGTTTTGTCCTGAACCCTAATATTAGTACTTCTGTATTAATGGCTTTTAGTTCATCATCATATTGTCAGTCACTTTATTTCACATTTCTGTAATTTATAATCATAATCTAGTGGTTCGGGCAAAGCCCTAATAATGCCCTCCTTTATGTCCTAATACATTATAATAATACATTAGAATGTGTAGGTGTATGGTGTGTGTACACACACACACACACACACACACACGCACGATTTTATTAAGCATTCTAAATTTTAAAACCAAAACATACAAAAAACTGGCCTTTTTTTGTTCTAGGCAATTCGAAGTTTTCAAGTAGCCCTTCACATCTATCCAATGAACCCTGAAATATGGAAAGAAGACCTTTCTTGGGCAAGAACACTCCAGGAGCAGCAGAAGGTAGCACAGAGGATTAAAGAAAGTGAAGCACCTGCTGAAGTAACACGTTTTTCACCAAAGTCGATTCCGGACTACGACTTTGAAAGTGATGAGATTGTTGCTGTTTGTGCGGCTATTGCTGAAAAACAGAAGACAGTTTCAGCAAATAAAACAATGGTTATTGTGTCGGCTTCTGGGACTGTTGAGACTGTAACTGAGAAAGAAGATGGTGGTACGCCACCAGATGGCTCTGTTTTTATCAAAGCCCGATGAAGCAGTATGCCTAGAGGAATTCTGTGAATCTGCTTTTTTTGATTGCCACTTAAAGGTTTGACATAGGGACATTTACTCGGGAGACAATGGGCAAACTCCTGTTTGTAAAATAAGTTTTTCAGGTGAGGCATATAAAAACTAAGTGATAGAATTATTGTATAGTGTTTGGGCTGAGCTTTGATAAATTATAATTTATATTTCTTAAGATTAGAATTCTGAGTAAGCTACTTTTTGATTAATACGCTTATTTTAATCTGAATATATAAATGAATACATTTTAAAGACACAACTGGAAAAGTGTATTCTTCAATAGTGAATAACTTGGCTAATGTTATTAAAATGTTGACTCAACTTTTGTTTTATGATAAAGGAAGTGGGTAATTTATTTCCCTCCTTAGAAATATACTGCTGTTACTATTCACTCTTTCATTTTTCTTTCTTCACTAGAGTCTGTCACAACACTTGAATATTTTTGACATTCATTTTGACTCAAAGTTGTCATTTGGTTATATGTGGAATCTTTGAAAGTTTGGCTGAAAATGCATGCAAATATGTACATTCTGAACATTTTCTGAAGTTTCTCTGAATTCTTATTTGTGTCTCTTGACTTTAAAGTTATAATAATGATAGTTGTCTCTTTCAATATGTTAGATGTGTGAAATGTAGATAAATGTCAGAATGATAGTCTTACTTTTTAAGTTGTTGTAGTAAGTAGTCAATACCACAAGAGAATCATTTTTTAAATGTGCATTTTTAAATGAATAGCTTTTACAGATAGATTATGGCAAATTGGACTGCTATGTTATCCCAGTCAAAAGCAGTATTTTCTTTTTCTTGTTTTTAAAAGCTTAAAGAACACTGAGATCAATTTATTTCTTACTTGTAACTTCTCAGCTGATGATGTGGAATTAACCTTTCAAGATAACTTTTTTTGGAACTACCCAGTGGAAAAAAAATAACTACAATTTTAAATAGCTAAATTATATCTTTATAAAAATTAAAAAGGGAGATTATTATTAGAGTGCCAATGAGTGAATAACATAGGCACAAAACATATAGAAACTGGAATGTGATTTATAGAACAGTCCTGGGAGAGTAAGAAGGCTATATTGAAGAAATATTTTATTGAAAGACCACAATTACAGTCACAAATCAATACTGTCATTGCTAATGTGAACTATTATTTTTATACTCTATATTGTTGTATGGTTATACAGACCTGTTGGGTACTGTTACTTCTGACACTCAGGAAAGTATTATTGGTGTAAAATTAATGTTATCAATTTTAGAGATGAAAGTAGGCTACTTTATGTTAACTGTTGGAGCATGTAAGTAATGGTCTACATTTTTATGAGGGTGATTGTTAAAACTTTTGTTTTTAGTGGAATGCATATCTCTTTTTAGAGTTGGAGAAATCACCACTTGCCTTGAAAATAATATTTTCCCTATGTTGTATTACCAGAAAATCAGCTCTGTTTGGAAAAGTTAGTTTCAGAGTGATAAAAAATATATTAATTATTTTATTTAATTTAATTAGGAGTATTCTCAAAAGGTAGAGAGGTATCTAGAGAAATGAGTACTCAACATTTGGTGTGTTGTTTTGGGTAATGGATGTTTATTGTGTAATTTGTGAATAAATAGCTTTGCATTTTGAAGATTATTTTTGTGTTGTTAGCTTTTGAAAAATTAGATTGATCTACTTAATTTCTTTCTTATGTGAACATAATATATATGTATAGTACCTTGCACAGTACCTTGCACATGAAGTGCTCAGTAAATGCTAGCTATTTCTATGAAGAACTTGAATTAGTTTGGAGATAATTAACCTCAATTTCTTCTGATTTTAAGAAATAATTTTTTATTTTTTCCTTAGCTACAAGTGAGAAAGGACTACTTCTGATATTATAGGGGATGATTATCAATTGGGGATTATTCTTGGCATAAGGTATATACCTCAACTTCCAAAGGGGCAAGACCCAGGATGAAGTGCATGTAGCCACTAGACTCTGTAAAAAAACCTAGTGTCTCCTCTGTATTGGCATGGTAGGTCAGGTAAGTCTCTTCCTTATCCAGATGTAAGACATGAGATGGAGGAGAAAAAGGAGTACTGAGTTAGGGAGAAAGAAGGACACTCATTTCTTCAGACCCCAAAAGGTGCTTATTTTAACTAACGCTCTTCTATGCATGAAGAGAAAAATGCACTCATTATTTTACAAGGATATGAATACTGATATACAAATGCTTACTATGCTGGTAAATTATAATAACAATTCTTTTTTTTTTTTTTTTTTTGAGTTGGAGTTTCACTCTGTCGCCCAGACTGGAGTGCAGTGGCCGCTTCCGCCCACCGCAGCCTCGACCTGCTGGGGCTCCGGCGATCCTTCCGCCTCAGCCTTCCAAGTAGCTGGAATTACAGGCATGCGCTACCACGCCTGGCTGATTTTTTTTGATTTATTGTAGAAATGAGGTCTCGCTGCCCAGGCGGGTCTCGAACCCGCGGGCTTAGGCAATCCACTCACCTCAGCCTCCCAAAGGCGCGGGATTACAGGTTGAGCCACCGAGCCCGGCTAATAACAATTCTTTATAAATCTGAAGATAATTGATGTTCATGCTAGTGATATAGGTGTTTAATATACTTTATGAAATAACACTTTTAGTGTTCAAGTTATAATGAATATAGTCTACATTATTCTTGTTTGAGAATTGTATGGCACAGACACTCATTGGAACACTGCATATCCATGCCTGATAACCCAAGAATCATAAATTATTCTCTAGAAAACAGGCACTTTGGTTATAGAGTATTTATCTTAAGTACGCTAACAAACACTACATATACACTGAAAAGTCATACAATTTATAGATCACAGAAGCCAGTTCTACAGCAACTGGGCCCACATACAAAATTTTATGGTAGTTGCTTCAGTATTAAAATCTTTTAAGTTGATGATAGATGGTAAAACTATAATGTATACTTAAAAAACTTTGTCTCAAAGAGCTAGAATTTCCATGATTATAACTGAACAGTATAGCCTTTTTAGTTGTTTGAAAATTACACTTTACATAATGATCCAAAAGCTTGTTTCACTGCCTTTTCCAGCCATAAGAAAATTATCAGTAATTTATTTTAATTTCCTTGAGTTAAAATCCCCTCTAAATTGATCTGGACCAGTCATTCTGAGCTGTGATGTCATGATATATGTATCTAAATGAGTTGTAAGTTGACACAAGAACTATAGTTCCATAGTAAGTATCTTCAAATCAAAGGGAATCTTAAATATGGTTTTTTGTTGTTGTTGTTCATGAGATGTTCTTAAACTGATGTATTTTACAACTGATGACATTTTGGGATTGAGAAAGTCAAATTTTTAAAACCAGTAATAAAATATGGAAATATATAAATTATGTGCCACTTTACCAAAATAAATTAAAATGAAATAAAGGAGGTAATCTCTAAAGTCATACAATTAAATATGGCCACTTTGGAAGAAACATGGTTCTATAGCTATATACCATGAATCGTGTCTCATTGTGTGTTACATGTAAACTTCACCTTTAGTATATGCCAAGGTGGAAGAAAGGTAGAGAAATGCTCATCTATACTTCAGTGGGAAGGCAGGAGGTGACAATGGCTTCCTTTCATAGTGCTTCTTAGAACATCCATTACCCAAGGAATCTCTCCCTCCCACCTCCCCAGGAAAGGAGGCAGTTTAAGACACAGAACTGGGCATGCTAGTTCTATGTCTTAAACTTCCTTCCCTATCTTTGCATTTTCCATGTCTGCAGAGAGCCTGTGTTGTAGTTTCTTGCTAACCACAATATGAGCCTTGCAGTGAACATTCTCTGCCTCTATAAAGGGAAACCTGTGCTTGTGCAGGACTGCCCATGCCTTGGTGAGCAGGTATAATTATAGTTTCAATATTAGGTGGCCATCATTGATACAAATACTTAAAGTACACCCTCTAACCTAATCTTTTTCTGCAGTAAATCTAATATATTGAACCTCCATCTGATTGTCTCTCAAGTGGTTCAGATGTCAGGAGGATACAAGGGGCGTTATTTTATGACTCCATCAAACCCTGACAAAGATTAATGCAGATTAAATTTCAAAGTAAACATGAGATATATTAAAAAACAAGTGTGGGAATACCTTTCTAATTTTAGATTTTTTAAATCATGGAAATTCTAGTTAAAACGAGTAATATTAATTACAAGGCAACATATTAAAATGTGCAGGATATTTAAAAGGTCTACTGATTTGGAATTGTGATGGACCATATTGTTGGCTAGATTGAATTAGAAAGGAAGAATAAAAATAATTATGATATCCTCTGCCCACTTTTATTAACTTTCTTAAATGAGTGTAATTTACAAAAATGCAAACATTTTAAGTTTCCAATGTGGAGAGAGATGACAAATGTGAACACCCACTTCACCACCACTATCACCAAGGTGTGGTGTACGTCTTTCATCCAAAAAATTCTTTAAAGCCATTTTTGCAGTCAGTTCTTCTTCACCCCAACAGCCATCCCTAATAAACTACTTATCTACTTTCTGTGGCTGTAGATTAGATTTGACTTTTCCAGAGTTCCAAATTATTTATTTAGACTATAAAGTATGTATTCTTTTTGTGTCTGACACTTTTTTTGCTTAGCATACTACTTTGGAAATCCATTCATGTTGAGATTCATTCATGTTATTGTGTATATCAGTAACATGTTCCTTTTTATTGCTGAATTGTATTCTAGTATATAGATATACTACAATTTGTTTAGGTATTGATGGACATTTAACTTGTTTCAAGTTTTGATCTGTTATGAATAAAGCTGCTGTGTACATACATCACAATTCTGTGTGTGGACATATATCTTCATTTCTTTTGGGTATTTACCTGGGATGAAATCACTATCTTATGACCAGTATATGCATAAATTTAGAGGAAACTGCCAAACTCTTTCCCAAAGTATCTGTATATTTTGCACTCATACCAGCAATGTATTAAAGAAATTTCAGTTCCCAATACTTGTCAATGCTACGTCAGTCTCTCTAATTTTAGCCACTTTAATGTGTGTATAAGTACCTCATTGTGGTTTTACTATGCATTGACTTAATAATGTTGAGCATATTTTCATAGGCTTATCTGATATTTGTATTTGAAGTCTGGAAGTGTGATACCTCCTGCTTTGTTTGTTTTGCTAAGGATTATTTTGGCTATTAGTGGTGGTTTATGTTTCCATGTGACTTTCTGTATTGTCATTTCCAGGTCTGAGAAGAATAATGTTGGTAACTTAATGGGTATTGAGTTGAATCTGTAGTTTGCCTTTGGTAGGACGGACATTTTAACAATGTTGATTCTTCCTATCTGTGAGCATGGAATATTTTTCCATTTGTTTGTGTCTTCTTGGATTTCTTTGAGCAGTGTTTTGTAGTTCTCATTGTAAAGGTCTTTCACTTCTCTGGTTAGGAAGATGCTGAGGTATTTCAGTTTTTTTGTGACTATTGTGAGTGGGATTGTGCTTTTATTTGGTCTCTGCCTGGTTGTTGTTGGTGTATAGGAATGCAACTGTCTTTTGCACATTTATTTTGTTCCGTGAGACTTTGCCAAAGTACTTTATCAGTGCAAGCAGGTTTTTGACAGATTCTCTTGGATTTTCAAGGCATTGGATCCTATCATCAGCAAAGAGGGGTAACTTGACTATCTCTTTTCCTATTTGGATTCTCTGATTTCCTTCTCTTTTCTAATTGCCCGAGTTAGGACTTCCAACACAATGTAGAGCAAGAGGGGTGAGAGTGGGCAGCTTCATCTTGTTCCAGTTTTCAGGGGAAATGTTTCCAGTTTCTGTCCATTTAGCAGTATGTTAGCTGTGGGTTTATCGTAGATGGCACTTCCTATTTTGAGGTATGTTCCTTCTTTACCTAGGTGTTTGAGGGTTTTTATCAAGAAGGGATGCTGAATTTTGTCAAAAGCTTTTTCTGCATCTATTGATATAATTATGTGGTTCTTGTTTTACATCTGTTGATGTTTTAATTACATTTATGGTCTTGAAATGTTGAACCAGTCCTGCATCCTGGGAATGAAGCCTGCTTGGTCATGGAGGATGATTTTTGAGATTTATTTTTGAATCCGATTTGCTAGCATCTTGTTGAGGATTTTTGTATCTATGTTCATAGGGATGTTGACCTGTAGTTCTCTTTTTTTGTTGGATCTTTACCCAGTTTGGGTATCAGTGTGATGTTTGTTTCATAAAATGATTTGGGGAGAATTCCATCTTTCTCAATTGCTTGGAATACTTTCAATAGGATTGCTATCAGCTCCTCCTTGTACATTTTGTAGAATTCTGCTGGAAAGCCATCTGGTCTATTGCTTTTTTTTTTTTTTTGTAGGTAGTTTTTGTATGACAGAGTCAATTTCCTGGGTTTTTTTGTCTATTTAGTGTCTCAGTGTCTTCTTGTTTCAACCTGGGCAGGTTGTGTGATGTCAGAAAATCCTCCATTTAGGTTATCAAGTTTGTTTCCATATAGGTGTACATAGTGATCTCTGATAATCTTATGTATTTCTTCAGAATCAGTTGTGATTTGATCTTTTGTATTTCTGATTGTGTTTATTTGGGCTCTTTCTCTCTTTTGCTTGGTCATTCTGGCTAGGGGTCCATCAATCTT